TCAGGCCTGGGCAGGGGACCCCCAGCTCCCTGCAGTTGCAGTCTCCGCCCCTGCCCAGGCCTAACGCCTCTAGCTGAGGCGTCCGGCCCGGGCAGCTGGGACCCACAGCTGCAGCAGCCCTGCGATCGAGGCCTCCACTTTAGGCCCGGGCAAGGGACCCCTAGCTCCTGGGACTGCCAGCTTTGACCGTGCCCAGCTCCCATCGCTGGCTCCACCCCCACTTCCTCCTATCACTGGCCAGGGCGGCAAAGGCGCCTGATTCTCCGATCATGAACCTCCTGATTCTCCCTAGGGGCCGCCTTTGCCCTGCCCCCTGGCTCTTAGCTCCCCCCTGGGTTTCCGATCACTGTCAGTGGCAGGGGGCTTCTTCCTGCTTTCCCTTTCGCCTCCCTGCATTGTGCCTACATATGCAGATTAACCACCATCTTTGTTGGCGGTTAACCGCCATCTTAGTTGGCAGTTAATTTGCATATCGCCCTGATTAGCCAATGAAAAGGGTAGCGGTCGTATGCCAATTACCATGTTTCTCTTTTATTAGTGTAGATAGGATGGGTTAATGATCTTATACTGTATTCTAAAGCTCCAACTGTGACTAGTGAGTGCATTAAAAAAAACCTGACACCTTTTTTTTAAAGGGCACTTAGAATGGTTAAGAGTCTTTAGAAACTGTAGCAGTTAATGACCAAAAGTAATGAGTAAGAAAAAGGAATGCCTTGGAGGAGGTTAGAGAAAGGTAGAGAGAGGAGAATATGAGAGCTAATTTTAAATGTAACTAACATATGGAAGATGGATGAATTAAGATGAATTTTGGTTTCAGTAGCTTCAGATTGTATAAGAACCAACGAGAAAACTATTTATAATTCAATATAAAGAATTAATAATTAGAAAGCCTCAAAATGGGATGATCAGTCTAACAGATGGTGAGCTCCCTATCATGAGAAATATTTCAGTAAGTACTGGCTAATTACCCAGCTATCAGAGTTATTGTTTGAATGTTTCTTATATTGAACACTTCTGATAAGATTTTTTGATTTTTATAAACTTCATATGATATAACCTCCCACAATACTGGTAAAATAGCAGTTATTTTTCTCCTGAATTACTATTATTTTTGGGCTTATACATCACTCAATATTCATACTCACTGGTTTGATATCATTCTCCAAAGAAGCGAGGAAATCTCCCCTGGTCACCTGCAGGCTCTCTGCTTTCTCCATGTCCACTTCAACTTTAGTAGTGGCCTAGTTAGAAATGAAAACACAATGTAAGGACTTCTAATATTTAAGAATATTTTCAGCCTCAGAATGTAACACCTAAAGATTTTGAAAAGCATACTTTCACAGGCAAATAGCATCTCTCTCAAATTCACAAATATATATACCTTTGCCTGAACAATTCCACGTGTAGAAATTTATCCCATAGGTACATACACAGATGTGTGCAATGTTATATTACAAGGACATCTACTCCAGTGACTTATAATAGCAGAAGACTAGAAGCAAATTAAATGTCCACCAAGCGGGTACCAGTTAAGTAAATTATGACACATCTGTACCAAAGAACATTGGATAGCCAATTCTTTATAAATGGGGCATAAGGAGGAGAAAATATATACGGAGGGTCTCTAAGAACTCTAGTTATCATTCTTAGAATAACCTCTAAAGCCTTTACAGATACACAGATACTCAGCCCCAGTCCCTTCAGGATTTGATTTAAGAGGGTCCAGGCATTTAATTTTTATAAAGTTCCACAGGTTTGTAAACCATTTTTCTAGGAGACCAAGGACCTACAACTTGGATTTGTACTCATACTTTGTACTTGAGAATCTATGTGCCAGCTCCAAGTATTCTGCTTCCTGCACCTGGAGCTGACACTTAGCACAGACATCTGGAGAGGCATCAAGGCCTTTATCAGCACTTGGAGCTGCCTGGACCTGATGAGTGATTGAGATACCAACACAATTTTTAATGTGACTGGGCTCACTCCCAATAGCAGCAGGCAAGCGAGTCTAATATTTAAAATGGTACTATGATTTTTAAAAAGTTATCTTCAAAAAATCTGATTATAAAACAAAAGTTTGTTAAACAATATCAACCTTCCATTCATTATTATAAAATATGAGTCATGTTCCTTTAGGAATAGACTGCTGAGACAAATAAAATGACAGATATTTGTTCACTGATTTATTTTGGAGAGAGAAAGGAAGGGAGAGAGAAGAGAGAGACAGAGAGACAGAGACAGAGACAGAGACAGAGAGAGAGAGAGAGAGAGAGAGAACATCGATCTGTTCCATCTATCTATGCAGCCATTGGTTGATCCCTGCATGTGCCCCCACCGGGGACTGATCCCACAACGTTGGTGTACTGGGATGACACTCCAACCAACTGAATTACCCAACTAGGGTGACAGATATTTTTTTTTTAAAAAAGTAAGCTTTATGGGATAACAAGAACTATGTCAGGAAACTGGATCAAGATGGCAAACAGAACACATTTACTTATCTATCTTCCTGCCCCAAACCCATGAAATGCCAGAAAGTTGAGAGAGAAAGGTTAAAAAGCATGGTATATACAGAATTTTTAACACTGAGCCAGAGGAGTCTGAGAAGGAGAAAAGAGAAAAAAAGATCGAAGAAAAAAAATTTCCACAGCTGAAGAGAGCTCTGTTTTTGCAGTTTAAAGGGTTCAATGAGTGCTGATCAGGATAAATGAAAACAAACCTATATCTGTCTAGACAGTGTTGTGTAGTATCAGAGCACTAAAGGTGAAGAGAAAGTCCTAGAACCTTTATGAGAGACAAAAACAGGTTACCTGCAATGGAACCTCGCAACAGTAGAAACTAGAAGACAATATAATCAATCACATTTAAAAAATAAATCTGGCTATTTCTCCTAAAAATGATTTCCACATGTACACAGGGAGACACAGGCAAGAATTTTCATAACAGTATTATGCACTGTTCTAGGCACTACAGCAGTGATTCTCAATTTCTCACCTGATGGTACACAAACGAATTACTAAAATCCTGCGGCACACCAAAAATATATTTTTGCCAATCTGACACACCAAAAAAGTATAAGTTTGATTCATTCACACCAGATAGCTATTGTTGTGTTGGCTGTTGTCATTTTTTTAATTTGACAATCTAAAGGAAAAGAGGTCCGTGCTCTTGACTGGAAAGAGGTCAGTGTCCCTGACTAGTCAGGTATCGCATGTTTTAAAAATTCTTGCGGCACACTGGTTGAAAATTGCTGCTCTACAGAATAGCAGTAAGGCCACAGTTCCTGCCCTTGTGGATCTTATATTTTAAATAGTGTTGTAATAGCCTAGAATATTGAGCATTTGTCCAAAATAATGACTTACATATACTGACATGGAAAGCTAGCCAAGACATATTGTCAAGTAAAAAATATGAACTGCAGTACAATTCCATTTGTTTTTTTAAAGTGCATATGTATCTGAGTGCAAATATAAAGAAAATAGACTACAAAGGCATAGCCCAAATGCTGACTACCTCTGGGTGTTAGAGATGGCCTGTCTCACTTTTCCCCTATACTTTGGCATCCTTGAGGCTTCTACAAAGAGAATATATTCATATATGACTTCTATATTTTAAAAAAGAGAGCAGGTAACAAGCAACATTTAAGTAGATGCACAAATATTCTACTTAAATAAAGAGAATAATTAGCATTTAAAGTATTAATAGGGTTTTCATTGACACATATTAGATATTCAATAAATATTGATCACATTTCCTGACATCTCTAAGTTTATTTTCCTGAAAGAATTATGTTTATAATATATAAATCTCTTTTAGCTTTATAGTTTATAAAGTATATTCATATACATTATCTCATTTCATCTCATGTTGTCCTTATATAAGCTTGAAAGGTTTCTTAAATTGAGGGTAAAGGTAACCTTATATAAAGGTTTCAGACTCTGATTAAGTCTTTTTGACCCATCTACAAAGTGTAAATTTTAAAGTGAAAGTGAAGAAACCAATTCTGACAGAATCACATTAAAATCCCAATGAAGCTACCAGACTAATTTTAAATATCCTCTCCCTATACAACCCTAAGTTTTTACTAAAATGTTTTGTATTTTGATTTCCTCTTATAGTGAAACCAAAAAGACAGAAACATATAGCAATATGAAGGAAAAATCTTTTCTATCTTAAAACATTTGCCAAAAAATATGATAGATTTCAGTACTGAAGCTGGTGTGCAACTTGTCTTTTTACTACTAAGAAAGGACTCACTTGATGAGTTAAAAGTGAAGTAAGATGGGTGGAATAGAGTTATTTTAGAACAAGTTGTTTCTAGATACTCCTTGAACTTCAAAAGTTAACTAGTTATAAATAACCAATAATAATACAATTGTGAATTATTCCTGACTATTCATTAAGATAATAACAGCTAATCAATATAGAAGAAGCAACGTCTTTCAGCTTTTACCTGCTGAAACTAATAAACTTGTATTTCAACACGAGCAAATATCAAGTGGTCACCCTTAAATTTCATAACCTTTTAAATCTGACCTTTCAAAGTTCTTATCATTCCTGTTAAATTAAGGGTAGAATGACCTTAATCAATCAAAATTCTACAGAAAATAAGAAATAATTTTATTGAAGTTCTGCAAACATAAATCAGAGCTTCGATTCAGTTGTAAAGTGTGGTGTGTGTGTGTGTGTGTGTGTGTGTGTGTGTGTGTGTGTCTCCTCAATTTACTTCCCTACAGCAGATTTGAGTAGAAGAAATTTGGGTTATGAATCTTCTCTACCTGAAGCAGAAATTCCTTTCAAGATAAAAACAACCTAATGTCACATGAATTTTAGTTGACCACAAACATGGTTTCAACTACAAATGACATGAACATCGAGGTGTTTCTGATGGGATTTTCTACTTGTTTCAGAAAACCTGAAAGAACAATTTAACAGGGAAGACCTGTTTAGTTTAGTCCACCAGATTTTGTTTAAACCCAAATCTTTTGCAAAGGAAGCAAAACCCCACTAATAATGGCTTTTTAGAATACACAGGAAGAACATCATAACGAACAGTTGAATGTTGTATCTAAGTTTTATACCAACTTTAAATCATAAGTTTCAAATTACTTATTCATCAATCATTACTAGTAAAGCTATGAACATTTACAGCAATGGGAATACTAAAACTGTATGCCTTTTGTTCGGCCGAGGAGGAGTCTTGTTAGGAAAAACAGTATTGAAAGAACTTTTGGCAATATAGATTTTTTTAAATGCAGAAAAGGAAATGTTGGTACTATTTATTTTGGGGGGTGTGGTTAGTGTCTTACATATCCTTCCCTCTTTCCTTGAAGTGCCTACAGGTCCCTTGTATTAAATATTCCATAGATACTGTAAAAAAATAAAAGCTCTTTGGTATCAAAGGTGTTGATCACAAGTCAATATGCATCACCCGAAGTTTAAAGATAATTCAACCACGTGGAAAAAGTGAGGGAAATAATGTCCACTATTAGCACTACTTCTTACTTGTAAATCTGAAGGATAATATATTCTATATAGTCTTAACTAACATATTAACTTTACAATTAGAAAAATGATAACTGCAAATAGTCAATAAAACCCAGAAACTCAGATATTGAAAAGGATGTATATGGTATTCTCTCAAATCAGCCAATAATAACAAAACTGTAAAGAACTAACATTGATATGTAGTTTATAAGGCACTTCCAAATATAGTATTTGATTTCATTTTCATAAAAATCCAGATGAAATTCCAGATGAAATATGTAGTTATTGCCCTCTGACAGAGTAAAAATAAAAGTGAAAGAAGTGTAATGTATAACCATATCTTAGGACTATAAAATATATATTCTTCCCACCATCATGTATAAAACTAATGTATGCTCTAATGTATGCTTAAAGGAAATATGTTTCTTAATGAGATAATGGCTTAGAAACATTTTGGGATAAGATTATTGTGGTAAAAATGGCAAATCCCAAGCAGTATTACACCATTTTCCTCTTTGTCATTAGAGGATAAATGTAAATAGTCCAATCCCCCAAGATCTGTCCTAATGGAGTATCTTTTTGGATGGAGCCACTAGCACCCATTCTTAAACAACTTAAGCAAGATTACAGGCAGCCCTGGCTGGTTTGGCTCAGTGGGTAGAGCATCGGCCTGTGGACTGAAGGGTCCCGGGTTTGATTCCAGTCAAGGGCACATATCTGGGTTGTGGGCTCCATCCCTAGTAAGGGGCGTGCAGGAGGCAGCTGATCAATGATTCCCTCTCATCACTGATGTTTCTATATCTCTCTCCCTCTTACTTCCTCTCTGAAATCAATAAAAATTTTATTTTAAAAAAATAAATAAAGTGTCTTTCTCCAGTATGGCATTCTTGATCTAGAACAAAGTCATTTCTATTATGTAGGAAAATTATGACTTATAGATAGTTTGATTCAGAATACATATGTTTCCTAACTTAAAAAATATTTACTAAATACCTACTATATTCTCAGTATTTAGACCTATTTGAAATATTGTGGGAGATTCAGAGATGAATAAGGTATGGACTTAAAGTCTAGAACAGGGGTTGACAAACTTTTTCCGTAAAGAGCTAGATAGTCAATATTTTAAGCTGTGTGGGCCATGCAGTCTCGGTTGCAAATACTCAGCCCTGCCATGGTAGAATGGAAGCAGCTGCAGACAATATATAAATGAACGGGTGTAGTTGTGTTCTAAAAAACTTTACTTATAAAAACTGGTGACTGGTTAGATATGGCCCATGGGCCATAGTTTGTTGACCCTTGGTTTAGAACCATTGCTAGAATTTTCCCAAATAACTGGAACATACTCAACCTAGCTGTTCAGGCTTTTATTATTTCTTACAAGAACTGTTATAAAAGTTCCCCTCTCTCGTCTGTGTTGCCAGCTCCCTAAATACTTCCCTAAATACTCCACTCGATACAGCTGCCAGAGTGATCTTATGTTTTAACACTATGTCACTGCTATTCTTTAAACTCTTCAATGGCTTAGCACTACTCACAGGAAAAAGTGCATACTTCTTAGCACAGTATAAAGGGCTCTTTGTGCTCCATCCCCTGCTTTAGTCTCCTCACAATCTCTCTCTCTCTACCACCCTTTCCCTGCTTTTCATGCTGAAGTAATACTGAATTACCTTAGCATATTATGCTATTCTGTGTCTCCGTTACTTTGCGTATGTTGTTCCTTCTACCTAAAAGACCTACCCCACTAATAGACACAGAAGTTTCTCTGTGAAAGTTCTCTCACCCCATGAACTGACCACATCTGACACCTTTCTCTTCCTCACCTTCCATGTACTTTCTATGTGGAGGACAGACTGTGAGCAGCTCAAAGGTAGATGATTTACTTCTTTGCAGTTGTAGTATTAACCCTTAGCACAGTGTCTGACATACAATAGGTGCTGAATAAATCTATTTTGAACCAAAGTAAACCGAAGGTACCATAAATGATACACTTATTTCAGAAAGAACAATCACACACATTATTCTTGAAAGAAAGAATCAGAAAAGATTTGAAGAAAATTGTGGCATATGAACCAGGTATTGAAAAGATAAATAAAAAGAGAGGGTAAAGACTCTCAGTGAAGAAAAAAAAAACCCAAAGAAATGGAAAAATAATTTAATGTCTGATGATCAGTGAGTATTTCAATTTGACTAAAGTGTGTAGAGAATAACTGGGAACACATCCGAAAGGCTAGCCTAGAAGAAGGTCTGCAGGACCTTAAGGACAAGGCTAAGAAGTCTGTACTTTGTTCTGTACACAAAGTTACCTCACTGAAAGTTTCTGAAGGGTAGAATGATATGAAGTAGGAAGATTAATCAAATAGAAGGTGGACAGTGACAATGAGAACTGAAAGATACTGCCAAGGTAGAACTGACAAAATTTGGCAAATGAGTTAATGTGGGATACAGTAGAGTGACAAGAATCAAAGATAACTGTGAAGTTTCAAGCCTGAGAAATTGAGATATCAGCAAAATAGGAGCAAAAAGGAAAGCAATAAAAAAAAAGACAGTGGCAGATCAATGATTCTCTCTCATCATTGATGTTTCTCTCTCTCTCTCTCCCTCTCCCTTCCTCTCTTAAATCAATAAAAGTACATTTAAAATAAACAAAACATCCAGGTAGAATTATTTAATTTTAAATTGAAAGTGGGAGATATACTTTCAAGAGGTAAGACATAAACCTGGGAGTCACTTATCTACAGGTGATAACTTTATCAAAATAAAAGTATCCTTGTATATATTTCTACCAGAGTACCAATACATTTTTGTACTAATTTGCAAACATGTCCATTCCCTTGACTTTGAATTCCTTGAGGGGAGAGGCCAGGCTTTATTATCTTCATGTCTCCAGTTTAATACCTCAAAAATAGCAATTATGCAGTATATTTGCTGAAAGAAGCAGCCCTCATAATTCTAAAATGTAGAAAATCTAACTTCATATGACATGTTACAACTCAACACAGCACAAAGATTAAAAATATTGTTCAAAATCTTCATCTGCACATGTATCAGATGGAGACAACCGAAGGGAGATGAGTTAGTGGTTAATATGGGGCAGATACTACTGTTATTTTTCCAGCTACTCTGAAGATTTAGCAGTGGACAGTTAATTACTATTCCTTTTATCATGAATTTTCTCTACCAAAAGTCAGCATCACCCCTAGCCCTTGGTATGCTTGAAAGGAAAGAGAAAGAACCCTGGCACAGTATTTACAGGGCTGCAGACTCCTAATCTATTAGTTGACTGACCTTTATGTGTCTGTTCATAGCAGTGGATTGTGCCGCTCGCACCAGACCCTCCAATTCAGCACCGCTGAAATTCTTGGTCTCTGTGGCCAGTTCTTTAATATCTACATCTGCAGAGAGTAACTGATGCCCTCTCATCCTTGCTGTGTGGATGTGAAGGATTTGTAGTCGACCTTTTTCATCTGGTAAGCCTGATAAAATTGAAAATAAGGCAGATATTATTTTATTCCTAATGCTTTCTTATAGGTACTCAAGCATGAAAACATCTGCTTCTCATGATGTACAACTTCTCTAACAAACATTAAACCATTGAGTTACATGACTTTGCTCCTGCTAATGAACTCTAAATATATTCTCCCACTCCCATGCCATCAGTGACAGGTCTACTTACCTATTTCCATTTTAACTTCCAGTCTTCCAGGTCGAAGGAGAGCTTCATCTATCAGATCTGGTCTGTTGGTCATTCCTGAACACAGATGTTAAAACATACAAATGATCGCAGTTCAAAAATAAGATAAAATGTCCCTTCAGTATATGTAAGATTAGTAATTTACCTCAGAAGCTAAGAGGACATTTTATAAGTCAAACAGAAAACCAAATTATTCTCAAATAAAAATATCACTTGTTCTTGACATGTTCTAATGAAAATACCTGGAGACTTTGCTTTAGTTATAAATTATTTCGTTATAAATTTAGTTATTTCACTACTGTACAAGCCAATGGAATATAAATACAATAAAACTTCAAATATTTAAAAAGAAAAATTAAGATTCAAAGAGGGCAAGTAACCTGTCAAAGTGAGAGAGGGGCCATACGAACATGTTTGACCCAAAGTCCCTTCCCATTTTTGTAGGCCAATGGTTTTCAACCTTCATAAACAACAGACTTCTCCCTCCCCCACAAAAGTTACCTTAAGAAGAACCTCAGTACCTAAAACAGTTAAAAGACTGTTTTGATAGAGATGCATGAAGTTATGATAGAGATGCCTGATCTAAAGCTCATTCCCTGGGCCTCACAGACCTTGAAACCCCTCTGAGGACCCCTGGAGGCCTACAAGACCCACTTTGAAAACCACTGCATTACATAGTGCTGCCTTTTAAATGGGTGAGCTATACGCTTAAACCATGAGTCACTAAAACCCACCATACATTGGTCCTGTTAAGGCTCAACATTAAAATAGTCAAATTCTTCAATAACACTTGGTTCTAATTTGGAAACACTGGCAAAGTAGTATAATTACAATCTATACAGATCTTAATTCCGAACCCATGTGTCTAATGTTTTTGAAATCACAGCACTTTTTTTTTTCACAGCCCTTTTTTTTTAAGCAAACATACCAATGACTAAGATGTTGTTCAGCTGTTCTACCCCGTCAATTTTGGACAGCAATTGATTGACGACAGTGTCATGGACTCCCGTGCTACCAGCCATGCTCCCTCTCTGCTTGCAGATGGCATCAATTTCATCAAAGATGATGATGTGCAAACCACTGTTAGCACCAAGCTAGTAAGATAAGAAATTATATTATAGAACAAATAATTCAAATAATATGAATATATTAAACAAACTAATCCAAAAAGCAAAGCAGAACTTTCCATATATGGACTTCGCTCCATATTGACTAATAAATACAGCAAGTCTAATCATGGTTGTAGCCTTACAAAGGTGTTAGAACTACATTCTCAGAAGTCTGCAAACTGCAACGATATTCTAGGACCTCTTATTTAATAGCCATAAAACAAACATACAAATTATATACTGATGCAAGTGAATAGTCCATCATATAACTGTTCATTTACACTCATTTCTTACCTCACTATTTAAATGAATTCTTATACTTATCAGGTGCATTCTTAAGTCAGTGAATGACAATTCCCTCCCATTTCCCCTGACTTTTGGTGAAGGAATTATCCCAGAAACAAGTAGGGCTAAGCTTGTCACCTTATATTTCTAAGTGGTCACTCTACCCAGAGGTCCACTGGGAATTGGGGGGATAGGGGAAGGAAATGAACATGATTCACATTCGGTCATGCCACATGAAAACAGATTATTTTCTCCTAACATTAAAGTGAGAACAGAGACACAATTTATAAAAAGAACAGTCAAGGGGATGCTGTTTCTTCTGCATAGTGATTTCTGGTTTAGTTTATTGGATATAGTCATTGTTAAAATAGTTTATATATTTTAAAACTTCAATAGATGCAAAAACTTATAAATGCTAATAATTGGTTAGATTAAGTTAAGTGGACCTTCTAACAATTTATATTTAAGTAACTAAAGGGAGAAGTATGCTTTAGAAATTTTCTTTTATAAAAGACAAAAACATTAGGGATTAATAAAATGAAACAGGTGAGAATGAACAAAACCTCAATATGACAACATATGGATAATATTAAGATGGGCATAATGAGATTAAGGATTAGATATGGTTGATATTCATTAAAACTCTGGCAAGGATATAATTTAAAAAATAGGTTTAAAGCTTAAAAATGTTTTTATTTTTTAAAGAGAGAAAGAGAGAGAGAGAGAGAGAGAGAGAGAGAGAGAGAGAGAGAGAGAGAGAGAGAGAGAGAGAGAGAGAGAGAGAGAGAGAGAGAGAGAGAGAGAGAGAGAGAGAGAGAGAGAGAAGGATAGAGATAGAAACATTGATGGGAGAGAAACATCATCGATTGGTTGACTACTGCATGCCTTCTACTGGGAATCGAGCCTGCAACCTGGGCAGTGCCTTGACTGAAACTCAAACCAGTGACCTCCTGGTTCATGGGTAGATGCTCAACCACTGAGCCACACCAGCCAGGCAAGAAATGACCTGAAGGAAATTATACTGGGTCTAAGTTGTTTTAAAAAATGAAAACCAAGTAAAACACTGTTTGACCCAGCAATTCCACCCCTTCGCTTATAGCAGCTCTGCTCATAAGTGCCCTCAACTGGAAACAACCTAAATGCCCTTTAGTTGGTGAATGGATAAACAAACTATAGTACATCCACATACAATGGGATACTACTCAACAATAAAAAGGGATGGTTGATACATGCTACAACTTGGATGAATCTCAAAGGAAATATGCCAAGTGAAAGAAACAAGGCTCAAAAGGTTACATACTATGATCCTATTTATATGACATTCTTGAAAAGACAAAACTATAGGGATGGAGAACAGATCAATAGTTACCAGGAGCTGTTAACACAGGGAGAGTGACCATGAAGGGACAACCTGAGGGAGGGAATTATTTTGGGGTGATGTAAATGTTGAGTTATCTAGATTTTAGTGGTGGTTACATAAAACTATATATATGCTAAAACTCATAAAACTGTATACCAGAAGAAAGTCGATACTACTTCAGAATTATAAATAGAAACACATTACTCACAAATTGTTCTCCTTCCACAAATGTTTTAAAAACTAAATTCAAATCTGAAAAAATTAATTTCTTAATATCATATTTATTGAACAGATGTCTGATGATAAATGATAGCTTGCTGTTTAAAAAAATTAAACACCAAAAACTATTCATCTTTCCATCTGTAGAAAAAACTGAGAAGGAGGAATTGGAACTACAATCTTAGCTTTGCCAAACACTTCTAAATAGTAGGGTATTAATTCTTGCTGTCTTTGGTACAAAACAAGGACATTCCTGTCTATGACTGAAAAACTGTGATTCTACATGATTTTTATAAGACATTTTTATTCAAGGTTGTCTGCTAATAGAGCATGAAACAAACAGCTGCTATAATGTATGAATTTTGCTGTCAATGTGCCTTATGTTGCCACTGGAATCATGACTTCCTTCTCAGGCCAACCTCAAATATCTCTGTGGAAGGGAAGCCAGAGACAATAAGAACACTGTGTTTGATTAAATGATCACAGAAGCAATCTGTCCTAAACATAATTCAGTACAATTCTGACCTTTTCAGAACCTTACTAATCTTGTAACCTGTCATCAGGTCCCTTCCCCCAACCTAGTCAGTATAATAACATCAATTTTTACAGGTGTGTTACTTAAATAAAGCCAAATTCTTATTGCAATAAATTAGGAGTCAGGTAAGGAAGATGTCAAAATTAATGTTCACAGATTAATGTAGCTGAATCATCAATAACCCTTTACCAAAGAGTTTAAATTTCCACAATGCAATCCTCTTCAACTTGCTGGCTTTTAGCTCTGTTCTTACCATCTGAAAAGTATTCCCCCATAGAAACAGAGCTGCTGCTATTGAGCTCCTGGCAACAGCTTCGAAAACCACAGTTCTATATTTAACTAGTTTGACCTATATGCAAGTGCTCATCTCCGTCAGCCTGGCCAGAGTCACAGAGGTGATGCTTTTCTTTATTATGTAACACACATATACTGTCCATGGGTTCACTGGCTGAGTGTACCAAGCCATTTTTGGATGTAAGACTTGAGAAAGTTATAACTGAAAAGGCTGGCTATGAAATTCTCTACTTAGAAATTCTCTGCCAACTCAACTTTATCATTGATTGTGTCATATTTAAACTGTCTGCAAGTTTATTTATAAAGATTGATATCTCATGACTTTTTTTCTTAGAAGTCTTCCACAGACCAAAAAGGGAAATATATTTTAAAAAATAAAATAACACTCATTCTATCTGGCAATTACCATATGGGTCCACTGGATCTTTTTATAAATCTAAGCTATATTATGCTATTTCAACATTCTAGAAATCATGTCATCATTACTAATCAATTACTAGCTATGCTAAAAAATGATTAAGATAATAAAATGAAAGAATGATGAAATTGCTTAGAAATATGCAATAGTGAAATAAATATCGCTATGACATCATCCTTATGGTTTCTTAGTGTTGTCCAAAGTATTGTATCATCTTTCAAGAAGGTATAAGGCGGCAATTGCCAACCTTTCGGACCCATGAACCACAAGTGGTCTGCGGACTATGAGTTGGCGACTGCTAGTATAAGAGAAATCTAGACATAGCATTCACTATTTTTGTTGCCTGATTTTAGTTTTAATGGAACACAGTTGAGAACTCAGATGTTTTAAATTCTCTGGCCATAATGGCAAAAAGAAAAAGAAAATTTAGAGAAAGATATTTCACAATTATATGAATCCGAAAGTTAATACAAAGAGACAGAAGCATTTGAGACTCTAAAGAAGACGGTGAAATTGATCATTAAAGTAAAATCTCAGACTATGTGCTTTCAGATGATGATATTCTACATAAGTTTTCTCAAACTCAAGAATGAGTAAATATATTTGTAAGGACAAAAAGAAAATATGACATTTTCATCCAGTTATTTATTCAACAGAAAGTTTTCAGTATGCTGTATTTTGTGACAAGAAACTAGGCCATCTCATTTTTCTAAAAGAACACATGACAGTATTCCTCCACCTTTTATTTCACCTGTGCATAAAAATTTCCTTGATATAGTTTCTAAGTAGACAAATTTGAAGGTAGGCATTATAGAGAGAAGACCAGAAGAAATAGATGACATAAACATAAAAATATTGGATTAACCATTATAAAAGGTGTATACAAATCTAAAAACAAATGTTTTGCAAGTATGGAGCATCAGATGGCCATCCTCTCTTCAACTAAATTATGAGCCAAATAGTAAAAAAAAAAAAAAAATCTTCAAGTATTGTGTCTTGATGATGTCTGTGCAAGAGAACCGGAAGTCATATAAGCCAGAATCTATTAGAGATGTATTTGAAATTTATAAGCAGTATACACAAGTTCATGTATAACAACTGATGGACACTGAGTTATATTCAGAAGCTCCTGCCCATTTTGGATACATTTAATATGTCTTCAAAATCAGGAAAACATGGAATAAAAATTTGGTTTGTTATATTTATGTTCTTATTAAATATTTTAATAGCCTTTCACTTCTCTTTAATTTTAATTTGTGATTTATAAAATAACTTTTAGAAAAAGTAGTTATTTCAAACCAGATAATAAATGGTTATGACTATTTTTCTTGGTATACGGAGTATTGAAAAGATATTTGAAGCAGAAAATATTGTTAGTACTAGGGATGAACTTTAAAACTGATTTGTTCTGGGGCTGTCTGAAGAGCTGAGATCAATGACTAAACTTGCACCATCCACCAGGACCCATGCCTGCTAGAACCAATGGGGCTGAAATGGCTCGAGACCTGAACATGAACAAGAATTTAATGAAAACCTCCTGTGTAAAGCAAAAATAATTAAGTGCTCAACAAGAAGACTTGAAGCATTAAGGGGTTGCTATAAAGAAAATATTTAAAACTGATTTTTATCAACAACAAAACCAAGAATAAGTAGGACATAACAGGGTATGTTAGATTTAGTAGTTTACTAAATTAAAAAAATTTGGCCAAACCGGTTTGGCTCAGTGAATAGAGCGTCGGCCTGCGGACGTGAGGGTCCCAGGTTCGATTCCGGTCAAGGGCATGTACCTTGGTTGCGGGCACATCCCCAGTAGGAGGTGTGCAAGAGGCAGCTGGTCGATGTTTCTCTCTCATTGATGTTTCTAACTCTCTATCCCTCTCCCTTTCTCTCTGTAAAAAATCAATAAAATACATTAAAAAAAATTTGATATTATGCCTTTGAGGATTATTCATACTGATCCATGTATTCATTTGAATATTTATATGATATTCCATTTCCTACTGAGGAAAAATCAAGATGTTTCTACTTTTTCTCCCATTACAAATAGTGCAGCAATTAACATCTTGATACATGTTATTTTGTGTGCAGGTTCAAGAATGTTTCTCTAGGATAGTTGTCTTGAGATAGAACCCATAGGTCATGTATAGCATTTTCATTTTTATAAGATGTTGTCAAATTAATCTGCAAGATATTACCCATTTGGTATATTCTTCTAATTTTACTATGACTAGTATATATATTTTCACATACACTTTGACTAAAGTTTTATGTTAATTAACATTACTATCTTCTTCTCTAATGATACAAGGATTTTAAATGATTTATTCCAATTCCCATATATTTTATTCCATATTTTAGTTCTTAAAAAACATATTGATCATTATTATTATTGTTTTATATAGTGAATGCTTCTTAAATTTGCCTCTTTTAAACTTTTTTATTTGAAGTATGGCATAGAGGGAAAGTTCACAAAATGTGAACGTATGTCTCAATGAACTGTCACAAAATGACAGGGCACATAGCCATAAGAAAAAGCCTTCCACCACCATCTCGCATAGGCAAACACAATCTGATTTTTATGGCAATTATTTCTCAGTTTCCTTTATATTTTTACCACCTAAGCATGCATCATTACACACTATACTTTGAGCTTTATATAAATGGAATCATCCAGTAAGCATTTTTCTTGTCTGCTTCTTTTGTTCAACATTTACTTGTGAAATTCAAAACTATGTATTGCCACAGTCTATTTTTATTACTATGTAGTACTTTATTGTATACATATATGACAATTTAACCATTTACTAGCTATACAAATTCTAAGTTGACAGTTTATTCTCTGTTTCTTAAAAACGGTATTGAACCGATTTCTTGTTTCCATCATTTTTGTTGGAAGATAACTGCCACGTAATTGTTGGTATTTGAAGGTAATCTTTCTTTATTCTCTGCTTTTAAGATTTCTCTCTCTCTCTCTCTTTTAAGAAGTTTAATGATGATTAACTATAGGTGTCAACTCCTTTAGTATTTCCTTTGCTTAGGTTCATATCACTTCTGGAATCTATGGATGGACGCTCATTAGTTTAAGAAAGTTCTAAACCATTTTCTCTTCAAATATTGCTTTTGCCCCATCATCTTTTCCTTCCTGAAATTAAAGACATTGTTATGTTATTTTCTATCTTTCTTCATTTCTTTCATCCTTTGTCTCTGGTTATTTTTGTCTAATATCTTTCAGTTCACTAATTCTCTCTTTAGATGTGTCTAATCTATGTAAACATATCTCCTTGGGTTACTTTCAGTTACTGATTTCTCATTCCCAGCATTCCCATTTGACTTTTTTTTAGTTTCCTGTGCTCTGCCAAAATTCTCAATTTTGTTTCTCTTTGAATGTGGTAAGAATAGTTTTTAAAAGTCTGTATCTGAGAATTCCAATATCCAGAGGCCCAATTTCTATCATCTTTTGTTGTCTCTGTGTGTCTGATTCCTTTTGATAATACACCATACATTTCATTTGTAAATGACAGAAATAATTTGAGGCCTTCCTCCAGGAAGTATCTACAATTCTACCAGATACCTGGGGGCACTAGTGATTTAGGAACCCTCGGTCTAATTTTAGAGAATGTCATGATTAAAAGCTGATCTACAGCCTCTTTGAGAATGCTCTTCTATTTCCAGTTAACCCTTAATTCTATGGTATAGCCCTTCAGGGTCCCAACTCAAAATGAGGCATGTTCATCAGATATTCCCTCTTGGTGGGCCACAGCTGCTAATCTCTGCCCATTACTTCCACTAGCCTAGCAAATTCCAGCACTGACTAATATCTCTAGAAAAACAGTGACCTTTTCCCTCTGAGCCTCCATATACCAGGGCATTATTATTATTTTTTTTAAAAAAAACAGGGCCTTTTTTATCTGGGCCTTTGTTCTTAGATGCCTTCAAGCAAAATATAATTTTCATTACTCATCATCATTTCTTGCACCCACTGCTTCCTTCTGGATTCAATTTCCTTAATTCTAAAGTACATCATCCTTCATATTCCTCCAGCAAGCTTCTGTGATTAATTCTATCAGTCTTTGCTTGAAAAAATATATATTTATTTCCCCTTTATTCCTGAATGAGAATTAAACTGTGTATTAAATTGTAAGTTGACAATTATTTTCACTTAGCTCTGTGAAGATATTGCTCCACTATTTTCTGATCTGTTGTTGTCATTGAAGTTTGTTGTCAACATAATGGATCTCCCTTTGTATGTCACTGTTATTTCTTTTTTGTTTATATTAAGATGCTTCTCTTTTTTTCTTTGACATTCTCCAGTTTCACTACAATGGGTCTAAAAATAACCTATTTTTTATTTATCCTATTTGGGCTCATGGTGCTATGTAAATTTGAGTATTTGTGTGTTTTATCAAATCTAGAAAATTCTCAGCGATTCTATCTTTGAATATTGATTCTATACTACTTCATTAGGACTTTTCACTTTAACTTTGTTATCTCAACTTCCCTTTCATATTTTCCCTTTATCTCTCTGCGCTACATTCTGGATGATTTCTTTAGATCTATGCTCCTGTTTGTCATTTCTTTCTTCAGCTGAAACTACTGGCTTATGTTTAACCTGGTTGCTGAGCTTTAAATTTTGATGATAACATTTTCCATTTATTGAAACTATTTTAGCTTCCCCTATGAGAAGCTCGTGTGGCCTGGGCTGTTGGAGCATTCCTTGGGGTCTGCTCATATCTAACAACCCTATGGTATCATTAGCCAAGGATTAATTTTAAAATTATTTTCTCAGCTTGGGGACCCCAGACCACAGATGGAATGGTTTCTGTTGTTGATGCTGTTGTTGTTTTGCTTTTAAATCCTAAGCATGAGTCAAGGATCCACAGTTTAGAATGGCCATTAGAGATTCCTTAGCTCCTACTTCAGAACCTAGGTTGTTAAATGTTTTTGATATTTCTCTGTGCTGGTAGACAGATATCTTTAAGTCCATTCTTTTCATTGAGGACACAACCTCTTTGAAGGTTCCAGTTCCAAGTCCATACCTTAAGTGGGTTCAAGGACTCATTTTCTGCCCTCAGTGGGTGCTAACACCTAAACTCATACATTACCAAAACCAAACCTTCAGCTCATTTCTTTATCATTCAAATTTTCAGTTTTCTTTACATTTCTGAAGATTTCATTTTCTTTCCTGAGAGCACAATTATACATTTAAAATGATTTTTTTATATTTTACTCAGCATATGAAGGTATTTGTAGAAGGAAGGTTTCAAGTTGCCTAGTCTACTATATTGCCAGAAACAAAATCCCATGGCATTATTTTTAAACACTCTGTTAATGAAACAAATATAATATTAGTGGATTAGTTTGGGTTTTCCAGTGTAACAGAACCAAGATCCACCCTATTAGTCACCTGAAAATATACAGATATATATGTAGATCTCTATATTTAGATAGAGATCTAGATCTCTATTTATCAATCCAGCTAGCTAGCTAGCTATAGAGAGATTAATTATAAGGAATTATAATACAGTTATGGTGGCTGACAAGTCCTAAGATCTAAAGATATTTCTGTTCTATTCAGGCCTTCAACTGATTGGGTGGAACCCACCCATATTAGAGAGGACAATTGCTTTACTCAGTCTACTGATTCAAATGATAATCTCATCCAAAATATCCCCACAGACACACTCAGACATTTAACCAAATGTCTCCACACCCAGAGGCCTAGACAAATTGACACATAAAATTAACCACCACATAAACTCTGGTTTTATTTTTAATTAATTTTATTATTTTTCTAAAATCAAGCTTGCCTCTGGGACCTAACAACTCATACCTGTCACTCTACAATTGAGTAGACTCAATTGGTAAGTAAAGCTAGCTTTCTGCACTATGGATCTAACATACACATAATTCTATAAGTCCCTTTATAGATTTAATTCCTCCCTTTCCAAAGGATCAATTCAAGTCTCTGGAAGTAATGTGGAATAAAAGTGTCACCTGAAAATATATTCATGATTTGTTTTTGTAAAACTTTTGGCTTATACAATCATCTATCTTTGTATTATGAACATGTGGGTAATGACATCATGTAAACCCCCCATAATCCTGGTTGAGTGACATAACTTGGTATTAAATAAATTTTACCCTCAAGTTTTTAAAAGTATAGATTGTTCTAACAAGTTTTCCACCATAATGCTGAATTTCATTCATCCTATAAATGATAATAAACTTTTACGGAAAGATACTTATATTAACATTACCCTCCTTTGCTCCTCTTCAGCATCAGCAAAGAGTTTACGAATGTTAGCTTCTGATTCTCCCACATATTTGTTAAGAATTTCTGGCCCATTGACCACTTTGGGCTCTCTTGCATTCAACATCTTGCCAATCTGTCGAGCCAAGAGAGTTTTACCACAACCTGGGGGCCCATATAACAGGATGCCTTTAACATGTTTGCAACCTAAAAAGGAAAGGAAAATAATCTTACGTCAACTAACTAAAATCCAAGTAAGACATCTAAAGGAAAGTTTTCTTTCTTCTTCATATGCACGTAATAAAAAGTACAGTGATTCCATTAACATACATTAATAGCCAGGTGTCATGAACAGAACAAGAATGAACAAGTGAAGCTCTTTTTTTTTTCAAATTCAGAAACAATTCCTACACCAGTACCAATATTTGCAGGGGAAGCTGCCAATTAAAGGTCTTTGGAAAAGTATATTTGAACTATCATTTAGAACAAATACTTTTAACTCTATCTCTTTAAACTAAATACCTAATTAGGAACTGGTACTTACTTTTCATTATTCTTTTTATAAAAAATATTTTTATTGATTTCAGAGAGGAAGGGAGAGGGAGAGAGAGATAGGAACATCAATGATCGGCTGCCTCCTGCATGCCCCCTGCTGGGGATCAAGCCCGCAACCCAGGCATGTGCCCTTGACCAGAATCGAACCTGGGACCCTTCAGTTCACAAGCCAACACTCTATCCATTGAGCCAAACCGGCTTGGGCTATTTTTCATTATTCTTTACTTTAAAGTCGGGGGGTAGAAATCTGGTGTGTTGTTGTTTGGTGTTGGGTTTTTTTTTTTGGTAAATTTAACCTAACATAAGTCTCTATGATACAGTATTCTATGGAAACTCCATCTTAGTCATAGAAATTATAGGTCTACCTGTCAATACAAGCACTTGCAGAAAGGGCAAACATGTATGAATTGGATGGTATAGAGCAGTGGTTTTCAACCTTCCTAATGCTGTGACCCTTTAATACAGTTCCTCATGTTGTGGTGACCCCCAATTTCATTGTTACAAATTGAACATAATTAAAGCATAGTGATTAATCACAAAAACAATATGTAATTATATATGTGTTTTCCGATGGTCTTAGGCAACCCCTGTGAAAGGGTTGTTCGACCCCCAAAGGGGTTGCGACCTACAGGTTGAGAACCTCTGGCACAGAGCAATCCATTGGCCCCAGATGGATATTACAGACTTTGTGGATAAAGTTAAATGTTCTACTTCATGTGACTAATGCCAAATGAAGCACATGTTTTCTCAGAGACACCCAGGTGAAGTTCCAAAGGAAATTTCTTTTCCTAGGCAAGCATTGCTAAATGCCTTAGATGTATCATTAATAGCAAAATAACAAGACTGCCCTGACCGGTGTGGCTCAGTGGATAGAGCGTCAGCCTGTGGACTGAGGGGTCCCGGGTTCGATTCCGGTCAAGGGCACGTACCTTGGTTGCGGGCACATCCCCAGTTGGAGGTGTGCAGGAGGCAGCTGATCGATGTTTCTAACTCTCTATCCCTCTCCCTTCCTCTCTGTAAAAAATCAATAAAATATATTTTAAAAAAATAATAATAACAAGACTAATAATCTAGGTGTCTTAGGATTTCTTTAGTCAACTCTACATAAGGATTTATTGCATCTTAAGAAAGATTAGGATGACCTTTGGTTTCTGTTTACTCTAGGAATTTTCACCTTTCTAGCAGTTTCACAGTTCAGATGTGTGATTTTTTTTAAATCCTACACCAAAAAGCACGCTGTGAAATAAAAAATTATTAGATTTCAGTGTTACACTCAAAAGTGTAGGTGAAAAAGAAAATTTCTGGAAATGGAATATATGTCTTATTGTTTTCAATGATGACAATAATGTAATAACTCACATAAAAGAAATCACAAGATATAACCAACTCTCCTAGAAATTTTACATTCTGAGGAGGAAGACCCTTTGGATTGCAAGTTCATTATTTCTATCATTATGTCAAAAAGGACTGACTCCCTTTTAAATCCCTGAAAGTAATGAGATCTGTGCTTATGGTAACTAGGTTGTGCTTATAGAGACTAGGGGACCTTAGTGGAAACCTTTGAAGGCTTAGTCTTAACCCTCTCATCACAGAGCAAATTCCTGTCTTAAGAATCATGGCCAAAAAAACCCCCCCAAAACCCAGCTGAATAAATTGTCTTGGCCCTTAACCCACCCTTCAAGCATGAGTGGTAGGGAGATGAGGGGGAAGCCTTGAGCTTCTCCTAGAGGTCAATATCACCAAGCCCTACAGCATCCAAGTGACTGGGGCACATTTGATGAGGACTTTGGAACCTGCCTCCTAATCTTCCCCTCTAAGCCAACTGCTACCATCATGATCTGAAGCAATTCCTATTCATAAAACACCTGCAGAGGCAAGTGACAGTGGTGGTGAAACAGGTACAAGGAGAGGAGAGCCAGAAAGAAGAAAATGAAGATTTGCTGAGTATCTACAAAGTACCAGGTCTTATCCTCATCTCTATTTCTTAACTTTCTCCAAGTTTATCAACTTCCCCCTAACCATATTTCCTTCCATAATAAGGCATACTTTCTTTCAAGGACTCTCAACTCACTGGCCTTCTTATACTCCTGGAACAACCATCCCATAAGCCCTGAACACAATATGGATTTATTGCACCTACACACTGGTCACAGAGCACAGCCAGGAAATATTAAACCACTGGCTGATATCCTCACAATTTCATGCCATCCAACTTCAGTTCTACTCTCACTGCTTTCTCAGTCCTGCATGCCATCCTTTACTTGCTTTTGTTAGTTGTCTCCCATTTCCCTATTCAGATGTTCACTGCTCTTCTCATCTCAAGTGCTACCCCATGCCATTAATTCTTAAACATGACCTACATTCCTACTTCACGTATTTTTTTAAAAAAGACTATGGATTCCCTTTAGCTTCCTGATTCCGTATCTACAAATTTATCTGCAGACACATCCATTCTCAGCATCAACATTGGCTCTCAAAGGATGAGTTTCCTTCCTCTTCTCCAAGGTTTAAATTCCAATTATTTGTATATATATCTTCTTCTCCTTTAGACTGTAAACTATTCAAGGGCAATTACTGTCTCATCAATCCTGAATTGCAGACATGTAGCATAGTGCCTAACACTTAATATGTACTCAATAAGTGGCTGAATAAGTAAATTATGGATTTCTTCCCCCACACACAAAAAAACCCTCAAAGAAAATGAGAAAGAAAAGACCATTTTAAAATTTTTATTTAAAACTCTTAATTTATGGAACAGTGTAAAGTAACATAGATGAACTAATTAAAATACCTAAAAAACATAATTACAATGATAGGGACTTTGCAAACTTAGCAAAACAAACTACATGATATATAAATATTAGAGTCTTAACTCTGTAACTCTGTTTTTATATGTGGAAAATGCTCAATTTAATGTGTTTTGAATTAAATTGACCCAGATTTTATAAAATAACTAAACAATTCACATGAAGTTTGAGGGAGATAAAATACATTTCCATGGAACTTATTATATACTAGAGGTCCGGTGCATGAGATTTGTGCACTGGGGGTGGGGGGGGTGGGGGGGGCTTCTCAGCCTGGCCTGCGCCTTCCTGCAGTCCAGTCCGGGAGCCCTCGGGGGATGTCCGACTGACAGCTTAGGCTCACTCCCCGCCACTGTCACTGCACTCACCAGCCATGAGCTGGCTTCTGGGTGAGCGGCACTCCCCCTGTGGGAGCGCACTGGCCACCAGGGGGCAGCTCCTGCATTGAGCGTCTGCCCCCTGGTGGTTAGTGCGTATCATAGCGATTGGTCGTTCTGCTGTTTGGTCGATTTGCATATTACCTTTTTATTATATAGGAGGATAATACAGATCTCTGAAATGACAGACTCTATTCAATATAACATCAATAGAAATGTCATAGAAGCTCTAGTCTGCATTAGAACTATAATTCTTTTAGGATCTCATAAAGCACATCAAAAATATACACGGACATATGAAGATTTTCAAAATCTACTTCCACAAAGGAAGCAGTTACTTAAACAAGCAGTGGAAATGAGACTTTGTTATTACCATTATTATTACAGCCTGTTCTAACTTATTAAATAAGCATTGGTCCCTAATTTGAAATGAGTCATAAAAATTTTTCATAAGTAATTCCATTCAACAAAAGTGTATTAAGCTCCTGTTTGGACTATGCATGAAACTAGGTGTAAGGGATACAAACAAGAAAAAGGCCATCCCTAATTACAGGGCATTCTGGGTTTATTAGGAGACAGAATTTAAAAAGGCTGTCTACACTATAATATGACATTATCAGAGATATGTATACAATGTTTTTTCAGCTTAGCCAAGAGAGACTTGATTCTGTCAGGGTGATGGCAGAAAACAGGGATGGACATAGGGGAAGAGGTAACATTCAGGTAACTTGAAGAATAGTAGGAGGTTCATGGCTGGGCAATGGAGAGGAAATGGAACCCTTAAAAGAGAGACTGGAATGATCAAACACACAGAGGTATAGACATAGGAAACTGTCCTCTCAAAAGAGCCGGTAGTGCCCTAGCTGGCTTGGCTCAGTGGATAGAGTGTTGACCTGTGGACTGAAGGGTCTCAGGTTCAATTCTGGTCAGGAGCACATGCTGGGGTTGCAGGCTCGATGTCCATTAGGGGGCATGCAGGAGGCAGCCGATCAATGATTCTCATCATTGATGTTTCTATCTCTCTTTTCCTCTCCTTTCCTCTCTGAAATCAATAAAAATATTAAAACAACAAACAGCTAGTAGTAACCTGTTGTGGCTCAGCCTTGCGGGTGAGGAGAGGGGAGTGCCTGGAAATGAGTTTGACAGGCTCCCAACTACCATAGGCCTTAACAACATGCCCAGGAGTTATTAATATGTTTTGTAAAAACACTGAGGTTTTTATAACCAAGGAAGGTGCACAATAAGATACATGCTTAAAAACTAAGTCTGGTGGTAGATTGGAGGAAGGACTAGCAAAGAAAGAGGGATAGAGTGGAAGTCTAGTTGAAGAAATGTTCTTAACCTTTTTTTCTAGGGACACTGCCTCACTGGCTAGCTCTGGATTTTCACCAATTAAGTTTTGCATATCCCTCCAAGTCCTTTGGAAGTACATGAACAAATGGGACCAGAGGGCTCAGGAGGACACATCCCT